AATTATAATATTTAATGTAATATATAATTTTATGTACGATTAATAAATAAAAATTAAACATTATCATAAAATTTAAAATTAAATTTATTTTAAATTGGTTATCATCACTTTATTTGTTAAGTATATATAAAATTACATATTATGAATAGATCAATTTCATCTACAAACTACTTCTAAAAAATTCCTCTTTGTGTTTGCACTTGCGCAAACAGGTGCAAGAAATGCATGAATAAATATTCTTTTACATCAGTAGTGGTCAAGCGTAAGGGTGCTTCGCAAGTCAGATAGTGAGTTAGGTAATGTTTGACTCGTATCTGTTAAAAAAATTTATTATTCAATTGGATTCGTTGCTAGTTTAAAACTTTACTCGAATTATGCTCGTTAAAAAAACTTATTGCTCCTTAAGTTCGTTACTCGTTAAGTTCACCTAAAATTTTATCTTATTTTTTTAAGTTTAGAACTTAATATATAGAGCATAATATAAATCTAAATTAATAAGTTTAACTAAAAATTATCAAAAGAGTGTGTGAAACAAATTTAAAGTTTATACTCTAAAATAACAATCCACAAATACATAAAAATAATATTAAGGTTTGATTTTTGGTGTAGTAAAATACTAATTATTAATTAATAATTTAGTATTTTTTTATTGTTTATTAGAAAATGAATAGATTAGTAATTTATCATCATTTTTATTATCTATTAGTAAATTAGTATTTTTTAAGATAACTACTAAAAAGTTATAAAAAATTAACGAGTTACTATTAAACTTATCGAGTCGAGTGGACTTTGCTCGACTCAACTCGTTAAGGTCTCGAGTCAAATTTGAGTTTGAGTCCAGTAAACTCAAATTGAATTTTTATCAAGTTTTGATCGAGTCAAACTTGAACTACCAACAAATTACTCAACTCATTAGACACTCTTAATAGTGGTGAGAAATATATATATCTTTCATATCTCAAGTTCAATATCTAATTTAATAAACAAATATTATTTAAAATTACGTTAAATTCATATGCATATTCATTAAAGTGGAGAACTAAACATAACATATGACTCAATTCCAAGATCAGTCGAGTTGATATTGATCCGACTCGACATCTGATTTATTTTGAAATGATCTAACTCAAACCAAATCCGACCCAATTTAAATCTAAACTCGAAGTGACTGAACACAAAATGATCCGATCTAAACCCTATCCGAATGATTTGTGCCACCTCTAGAACTAACAGAGACGGAGAGAATCCATATTGCCTGTGTGAATGCCCAGAACAAGAGGGAGATTCTATCATCACGACCAACGTCCATAAAAAACCAGTTGACTGCTTAACATCAATGGGCCAACAAAAATTAATGGAAGACAAAGGCTTAGATGCATTTTCAATAATTATAATAATAGAAGACAAAGACTTAGATGCAAGTCAAGTCAAGGCTGACGTGAAAAAAACGAGCCATAGACCTGCAACAGTGACTTCATATTTTTCCACATCTACAATTTACACGAGATGATATAAAAGCAATTGCTTTTGTGAATATGTAAATGAAAAGTGGCAGTGTATCGTACGATTGGTCTAAACTTGATGACTTTGGCTGCAATACCATCAATCTCTGTAATACAAAGACTTGGATGCAAGTCACTCGAGAGTGAAAAATGGTTTGAGATTTGGGCGTATAGGACACTGCAATTAACCTTTAAATTCGAATTAAATTCAAAATCAATCCGATACTCAAATTATTATTTTTAAGACAATAATATTTCTTTAACACAATTAAATTTTATCTTAGTTATTTTTTTAATCAGGGACGGATGCATATGGCCACATAGAGATCAAATACACACCCATTATTTTAGATTATATATTCAATATAGTTCAATATATTATAAGAAGGGGAAAATAGTAAATTTTGCATACCCATTATATTGAAAAGAAGACTATTAAAATTTTTAGACCCTCATAGCTAAATTTCTGGATCTGCCACTGGTGATCATAAGGTCGTATTTGTTCAAGATTTTCTTAATCAATTGACAACACACAAATGACCTATAGATATAATTGCTCAAACTCAAAAATTCTAAAAAATAATACTACATCCGTCCCACTTAATCGGTCAACTATTAACTTTTTTGGTCAATTTTTTTGAACTTTGACTATTTATTATTTATAATTTATCATTGATAAAAATATAAAAAATATATTTTAAAAACCTCCAATTAAATAGTTTTGAAATATATATTTTATAAATTTATTTTTTTTAATATTTAAATTAATTGTGATCGAAGTTTAAAAAATTTAACTTTTAAAAATCAATAAAAAACAGTTTTAATGGGACAGAAGGAGGATTTACTTTGCCCCCTTCATAAAATCAATACTAATAATTATTTTGCAATAATATCATTGTATTTCTAACAATAATAAGCTCAAAGAGGAAGTACATGCTTGTAGTTTTGGCTCTCTTTTGAGTGGGAGATGTCACCAGCACTTCCATTACCCACTTGATATGCTAATGTCCATTACTTCTTTTATTTGGTAGAAAAATATCAATTATTATATTAATTCCCATCAGAGATATAAATAATATGAGTCAAGTTCGAATATTATTGAGTTTGACTATACTCTAAACCTAAGTTTGATTTGACTCGATTCGAAAATTCACGAGCCTAAACTTATCAACTCGACTCGAACCTAAATCTTAAGTACATAAAAGTTTTATATTGTATTTTTTTAAAACAACATATAAATATTAACATTATTAATAATATAATTAAAAATATAAAAAAATCATATTTATTTTTTCGAGTTACTCATGAGCTTTTTCGAGCTGAGTATCAAGTTACTCGCCAACCTATTAAATATTCGAGTCGAGTTTGAGCTTGAATCGAGTTCATCTAATTCGAGAATTGACCACATTTTAACCAAATCAATCTCAAATAACTTGCGATCTATCTCATCTCATTTACGATACTAATTCCCTTTATTCCTTTTGATTGGTTGAAGATTATCAATGGTTTCGTGAATTATAATATTTAATGTAATATATAAATTTATGTACGATTAATAAATAAAAAATTAAACATTATCATAATATTTAAAATTAAATTTATTTTAATTTGGATATCATCACTTAATTTGTTAAGTATATATAAAATTACATATTATGAATAGATCAATTTCATTTTTTTTACCCAAATTTCATCTACAAACTACTTCTAAAAAATTCCTCTGTGTTTGCACTTGCGCAAACAGGTGCAAGAAATGCCTGAATAAATATTCTTTTACATCAGTAGTGGTCAAGCGTAGGGGTGCTTAGCAAGTCAGATAGCGAGTTAGGTAGTGTTTGACTCGTATCTGTTAAAAAATTTGTTATCTAATTAGATTCGTTGCTAGTTTAAAACTTTACCCGAGTTCTGCTCGTTTAAAAAACTAGTTACTCGTTAAGTTCACCGAAAATTTCATCTTATTTTTTTTAACTATAGAGCTTAATATAAACATAAATTAATATGTTTAACTAAAAATTATCAAAAGAGCGTATGAAAAAAATTTAAAGTCTATACTCTAAAATAACAATCCACAAATACATTAAAATAATATTAAAGTTTGATTTTTAGGTGTCGTAAAATACTAATTATTAATTAATAATTTTTTATTTTTTATTATTATATTAGAAAATGAATAGATTAATAATTTATCATCTTTTTTATTATCTATTAGTAAATTAGTATTTTTTAAATAAAATGTTTTTTTTAAGATAACTACTAAAACATTATAAAAAAATTAATGATTTGCTAGTAAATTTATCAAGTCGAGTGGACTTTGCTCGACCCAACTCATTAAGGTCTCGTTTCAAATTTGAGTTCTAGTCCAGTCAACCCAAATTGAATTTATTTTTATCAAGTATTGATTGAGTCAAACTTGAAAACTACATTAGACACCCTTAATAGTGGTGAGAAATATATATATCTTTCATATCTCAAGTTCAATATATAATTTAATAAACAAATATTATTTAAAATTAAGTTAAATTTATATGCATATTCATTAAAGTGGAGAACTAAACATAACATATGACTCAATTCCAAGATCAGCAGAGTTGATATTGATCTGACTCGACATCTGATTTATTTTGAAATGATCTAACTCAAACCAAATCTGACCCAATTTATATCTAAACTTGAAGTGACTGAACACAAAATGATCCGATCTAAATCCTATCCGAATGATCTGTGCCACCTCTAGAACTAACAGAGACGGAGAGGAAACCATATTGCCTGTGTGAAAGCCCAGAACAAGAGGGAGATTCTATCATCACGACCAACGTCCATAAAAAACCAGTTGACTGCTTAATATCAATGGGCCAACAAATATTAATGGAAGACAAAGGCTAAGAAGCATTTTCAATAATAATAATAATAATAATTAATAGAAGACAAAGACTTATGGGCTGTTTGTTTACTTCAGAATGATTAAACGTTGAATGATTCAAATGCTGATTGATTCAGAGGCTTTGTATGAATTAGCTCTGAATGTGACATGCTGTTTGATAATGACTCTGAATCATTAAGAAAGTACTTCTGTGCACTGTTTTGCTAAATCAGTCAGCACTGAATCATTCAGAGATGCGAAACAAACGAGCTGAATGCTGAACGGTTTAACATTCAACGCTGAATGATTCTCTTAAGAGACAAGCAAACAGCCCCTTAGATGCAAGTCAAGTCAAGGCTGACGTGAAAAAACGAGCCATAGACCTGCAACATTGACTTCATATTTTTCCACATCTACAATTTACACGAGATGGTCTTAAAGCAATTGCTTTTGTGAATATGTAAATGAAAAGTGGCAGTGTATCATACGATTGGTCTAAACTTGATGACTTTGGATGCAATACCATCAACCGTCTTAATACAAAGACTTGGATGCAAGTCACTCGAGAGTGAAAAATGGTTTGAGATTTGGGCGTATAGGACACTGCAATTAACCCATATATAAACATCGTATAAGGGCTGTTTATTTACCTGCAAAAATCATTTGTTAATCATGAAGAGTTTAGCCTTGCTTGCTTGGGCCCTACTCTTCTGTGCTACTTCTCTATGTTCTTGGCCTAATGTTGCTTCTGATTCTGCAGCAGAAGCATCGGCAATCCTCAAATGGAAAGCCAGCCTTCAATACCATTCTGTTCTGCTTTCCTGGAATACTTCGTCGAGACACCCGAATGCGAAAACGAGTCCTTGTGCGTGGTTCGGAATCCATTGCAACCGTGCTGATAGTGTTAGGAGGATTAATCTCACTGGCTATGGTGTAGAAGGTATGCTCCATTCATTTCCATTCTCCTCTTTGCCTAATCTTGCAGAGTTGGACCTTAGCACTAATGAGTTTTATGGCATAATCCCACCACAAATCGGTCAGCTCTCCAAACTCACCTACCTTGATTTATCATATAACATGTTCACTGGACAAATCCCACCTCAGATTGGCCACCTTATACATCTTGAGACCCTCCACCTTGCTGGGAATCAATTGAACGGCTCGATTCCTCGAGAAATCAGTCGGCTCAAATCCGTCACCGAGCTTGCCTTGTGTGGCAACCGTCTAAATGGTTCCATTCCTGCTTCTCTTGGTGAATTAAGCCAACTTGTTTCCTTGCTTCTCTATGATAATTTCCTTTCTGGTCCCATTCCTCCGGAATTTGGTAACCTTACGAATTTGTCCGAACTTTACATTGACACGAACCGTCTAACCGGTCTGATCCCTTCGTCACTTGCGAACCTGAAAAACCTGAACGTGCTTTACTTGTTTAACAATAGTCTTTCAGGGAACATACCCCCTGAACTAGGGAATTTGGAATCTCTTGCTGAAATAAGCCTTTACAAAAATAACCTGTCTGGTTCAATCCCATCCTCATTTGGTGATTTGAGAAGTCTTAGGCTTGTCCATCTTTATCAAAATCAACTCTCTGGTCCCATTCCTGTAGAGTTGGGGAACTTGAAATATCTTGTTGATCTCGAGTTGAGTGAAAACAAACTCAGTGGCTCTATTCCTGCTTCACTTGGCAATTTGAGCAACTTGGAAATCCTGTTCCTTCGAGACAACCGACTCTCCGGTTCCATTCCTAATGAAATAGGAAACTTGATGAAGCTGACCGTGTTCGAAATAGACCACAACAACCTGACAGGAAATTTGCCGCATGACATTTGCCGTAGCAGATCACTCCAAAACCTCACTGCGAATGACAACCATCTCACTGGTCCGATCCCTCGAGGGCTGAAAAATTGCACTACATTGCAGAGAGTTGACCTTCAAGGGAACCGGCTCAGAGGAAACATATCTGAAGGTTTTGGTGTTTACCCGAATCTCAAATTCATTGATTTAAGTGACAATGAACTTTATGGTGAAGTGTCTTCCAAATGGGGGTTGTGCACAAGTTTACAGAGCCTATTTATTGCAAGGAACCATCTTACTGGTAGAATACCAGATGAGATTGGAGACTCGCATCAGATAGGAATTCTTGATCTTTCTTCAAATCATTTATTTGGGGAGATTCCAAAGGAAATTGCAAAGTTGACTTCCTTGCTTCATCTTGATTTGAATGGGAATCAACTTTCTGGTAGTGTACCCTTGGAACTAGGACTTGTGTCCAACCTTTTGTATCTTGACTTGTCCAAAAACCGACTGAGCAACTCGATCCCTGAAACTATAGGGAACATGTCCCTGTTATTCCACTTGAATCTGTCCTTTAACCAGTTTACCCAAAGAATTCCAATTCAAGTAGGCAAGTTAACTGTGCTGGTTCTTCTAGATTTGAGTCACAACATGCTTTCGGGGGAGATTCCGACGCAGTTTGAAAGCCTGCAGAGCTTGGTGGTGCTAAACCTGTCTTACAACAATCTTTCTGGTGAAATTCCAGCCACGTTCGAGCACCTCCGAGGCTTGTACTCTGTCGACATTTCATACAATCAGCTGCATGGTCCCATTCCCACCACCCAAGCATTTCAAATTGCTTCGATAGAAGCATTTCGAGGGAACAAAGGTTTATGTGGCAATGCTAGCGGATTACCACCTTGCACGACGTTATCTAACAAGGGTCACAACAACAGAACACTTTATGTAGTCATGTTCCCTCTTTTATTGGTTGCTAGTCTCTCGATTTCATCGATTGCTTTGTTGTTCACCTTCAAGAAGAGGAAGAAAGTTGCTGACGATGAAAGACAAAGCAGTGCAGGCGATGAAATATTTTTCTCGATATCGTCCTTCAATGGAAAAATACTTTACGAAGAGATCATTAGAGCTACCAAAGACTTTGACGCCCAATATTGCCTTGGGAAGGGAGGATATGGAAGCGTATACAAAGCAGAGCTGTCATCAGGAGATGTTGTAGCTGTGAAGAAATTCCATCAGTTGCATACCGGTAAAATGGCGGATCAAAGACAGTTCCTAAACGAGGTAAGGGCATTAGTGGACACAAGACATCGAAATATCGTGAAGTTCTATGGTTTCTGTTCCGCTGCGGATCATTCCTTCTTAGTATACAAGTACCTTGACAGAGGTAGCTTGGGTTCAGTTCTCGGCAACGACGAAGAATCCAAGAAACTGGACTGGAATAAGAGGGTGAATGTTGTCAAAGGTGTTGTTCATGCCCTCTCGTATTTGCACAACGACTGTTCACCGCCGATTGTTCATCGTGATATAACGAGCAACAACATTTTGCTGGATCTGGAGTATGAAGCTCATCTCTCAGACTTTGGCACTGCAAAACTTCTCAATCCAGACTCATCGAATTGGACTAATATTGCTGGAACATATGGATACATTGCACCAGGTGATTTATTATAGCTCGACGTAGCATATGGAATGATATTTGTTATTAACTATCTATCTTTTCCTTTGCAGAGCTTTCCTACTCAATGAAAGTTACTGAAAAATGTGATGTGTATAGTTTCGGCGTGCTGGCTTTGGAATTGATAGTTGGGAGGTATCCGGATGATTTTCTCTCTGATCTATCGATCCTAACTGCAGAACGCATTCCACTAAACTGTGTGTTGGATCAAAGGCTTTCACCTCCACAGCCAGAAGTCGAGAACAAACTCGAATTCATCCTAAAGGTAGTAGTCTCATGTCTAGATAACAATCCAAAATCTAGGCCAACCATGCACGTTGTTTCTCAGCTGTTGTTCGACCGAATCTAGTCCAATCTAGGATTTTGTTCATCTTCATCCTAGTGGCCACCTTAGATATATGTTTGCTATTGCTCTAATGCTGTTGCTTTAGTTTTTGTGTGGTTATCATAGTTGAAATGGATTAAGCATTTTCTTCAGAACTGTTATGAACCTTTTAGTAGTTCAATAAGAGTAGTTTTGGATGTTATTCTCAGTCTTTTGACAATGGACGTTCAAGTATTCTTGTAGATGTCGTGTTCGAACCTAGGATCCTTAAATATAATAATTGTCCTTTTAATAATTGAGATAACCTTATTCGTGTTTTACTAGCTGTAATTAAATAGTGTGAAATGTGTAATTTGTTATGTAAAAATTAAGTCATCAACAAAAAGCAAACTCATGATGATACCATAGCACATAAAATTTATTAGATAGATCCGGTTTATTACGTAATCTGTGATCTCAACTAATAATATTTTTTTATTTCATTTTTTTCCAACGTGAATCTTCACCTCTTTACTATTTGTAAATAAAGAATGATAAGTTATTTAGAAGTTATTTTAAAATTAATAAATATGATTTATTGAGATCATAGATGATTGATGAGTCGGATTAGCGAACAACACATGAAATGCTATTCCCTTTAGAGAAACTATGATTCAAAGGTAACGATCAAACCAAAGCTATCCACTTAAAGAATGAATGATAAATGAAGCAAATACCCGGTTTGATTATTAAAATTAGGTGTGAAGTATACAAATGGTATCTCAATTATAAACACTACTTTATTGAATTACTCAACTATTAAAAGTTATAAAATGATCTCTGATTATAATATATTACTTTTTTTAATCTCCAACTATTAAAAGTTACAAAATGATCACCAAACTATTCATATGTTCCAATCTAATCCTTTTCCATTAAAAAACTGATAACAGCCTGACCTGGATGTTAACCTGTTGATTAGGATATGATAAAGTCGGATCCCAAAATCTCAAATGACTATCATATCTCAGTCATCATGTTAATATTCAGCTCAAACTGTCGTCAACTTTTTAATGAAAACGACGAATTTGGAACATATGCATAATTAAGTGATCATTTTTTATTTTTTAATAGTCAGATGACTCAAAAAGCAAAATCCTATGGTCGAAGATTATTTTATAAGTTTTAATAGTCAAAGATTTAACAAAGCAAAACTTGATAATTGAGGGACCATTTGTGTAATTTATCCTAAAATTAGCAGGGATTAATACTAGAGTTTTATTTTCGTTATTATATTGCTGAAGGGATTAGCACGCATTTAAAATGATTCTAAAAATAATCCTCCAATGATTTTAGTAATTAAAAGAAATGTTGTACTTTTTAGAGATTTTGACTTTAAATAATTGTATTTGTAGGTGTGCGCGTATTGTCAATGCCTAAAAATTATTCTAAATAAATATTATCTTGTAATCACTCTAGATTATTAGAAAAATGATTTTCAAAGATGAACCCATCAAGTAGCCCTAGTGAAAGTTGATTTCTCTAGAAGTTTTGAATTCGAACAATAATAATTACAGAGTGTGTGCATTTAGGGATGGACTGAGAAGGGGTGGATGAGATAAGTCGTCCGTTGAAATTTTATAAATTCTTTTTTTCTAAAATTTTTGAAGTTCGATCTCCAATATAAAATCATGTGTCTATCTCTTGTGTTATCCTATCACTAGATGAAAAAATATATTATTTTATAACTGCATTAAATCATTAAAAAATAGTTGCAGTCAAACATATACCACTTTAATTCATTAATAATATATATATATATATATATATATGCTGAGCCAATTCATGTGTCTACACAACTTGAATGCATTTGCACCTTCTTCGTTTTGACTAATTATTCATCGACAAATTAGCTTAACGACAATCCCATCCTCATTTGGTGATTTGAGAAGTCTTAGGCTTGTCCATCTTTATCAAAATCAACTCTCTGGTCCCATTCCTGTAGAGTTGGGGAACTTGAAATATCTTGTTGATCTCGAGTTGAGTGAAAACAAACTCAGTGGCTCTATTCCTGCTTCACTTGGCAATTTGAACAACCTGGAAATCCTGTTCCTTCGAGTCAACCGACTCTCCGATTCCATTCCTAATGAAATAGGAAACTTTATGAAGCTGACCGTGTTAGAAATAGACCAAAACAACCTGACAGGAAATTTGCCGCATGACATTTGCCGTAGCAGATCACTCCAAAACCTCACTGCGAATGACAACCATCTCACTGGTCCGATCCCTCGAGGGCTGAAAAATTGCACTACATTGCAGAGAGTTTACCTTGAAGGGAACCGGCTCAGAGGAAACATATCTGAAGGTTTTGGTGTTTACCCGAATCTCACATTCATTGATTTAAGTGACAATGAACTTTATGGTGAAGTGTCTTCCAAATGGGGGTTGTGCACAAGTTTTCAGAGCCTATCTATTGCAAGGAACAATCTTACTGGTAGAATACCAGATGAGATTGGAGACACACATCAGATAAAAAGTCTTGATCTTTCTTCAAATCATTTATTTGGGGAGATCCCAAAGGAAATTGCAAAGTTGACTTCTTTGCTTCATCTTGATTTGAATGGGAATCAACTTTCTGATAGTGTACCCTTGGAACTAGGACTTGTGTCCAACCTTTTGTATCTTGACTTGTCCGAAAACCGATTGAGCAACTCTATCCCTGAAACTATAGGGAACATGTCCATGTTATTCCACTTGAATCTGTCCTTTAACCAGTTTACCCAAAGAATTCCAATTCAAGTAGGCAAGTTAGCTATGCTGGTTCTTCTAGATTTGAGTCACAACGTACTTTCAGGGGAGATTTCGACGCAGTTTCAAAGTCTGCAGAGCTTGATGGTGCTAAATCTGTCTTACAACAATCTCTCTGGTGAAATTCCAGCCACGTTCGAGCACCTCCGAGGCTTGCACTCTGTCGACATTTCATACAATCAGCTGCATGGTCCCATTCCCACCACCCAAGCATTTCAAATTGCTTCGAAAGAAGCATTTCGAGGGAACAAAGGTTTATGTGGCAATGCTAGCGGATTACCACCTTGCACGACGTTATCTAACAAGGGTCACAACAACAGAACACTTTATGTAGTCATGTTCCCTCTTTTATTGGTTGCTAGTCTCTCGATTTCATCGATTGCTTTGTTGTTCACCTTCAAGAAGAGGAAGAAAGATGCAGACGAAGAAAGACAAAGCAGTGCAGGCGATGAAATATTTTTCTCGATATCGTCCTTCAATGGAGAAATACTTTACGAAGAGATCATTAGAGCTACCAAAGACTTTGACGCCCAATATTGTCTTGGGAAGGGAGGATATGGAAGCGTATACAAAGCAGAGCTGTCATCAGGAGATGTAGCTGTGAAGAAATTCCATCAGTTGCATACCGGTAAAATGGCGGATCAAAGACAGTTCCTAAACAAGGTAAGGGCATTAGTGGACACAAGACATCGAAATATCGTGAAGTTCTATGGTTTCTGTTCCGCTGCGGATCGTTCCTTCTAAGTATACAAGAACCTTGACAGGGGTAGCTTGGGTTCAGTTCTCGGCAACGACGAAGAATCCAAAAAACTGGACTGGAATAAGAGGGTGAATGTTGTCAAAGGTGTTGTTCATGCCCTCTCGTATTTGCACAACGACTGTTTACCGCCGATTGTTCATCGTGATATAACGAGCAACAACATTTTACTGGATCTGGAGTATGAAGCTCATCTTTCAGACTTTGGCACTGCAAAACTTCTCAATCCAGACTCATCGAATTGGACTAATATTGCTGGAACATATGGATACATTGCACCAGGTGATTTAGCTCGACGTAGCATATGGAATGATATTTGTTATTAACTATCTATATTTTCCTTTGCAGAGCTTTCCTACACAATGAAAGTTATGAAAAATGTGATGCGTATAGTTTCGGCGTGCTGGCATTGGAATTGATAGTTGGGAGGTATCCGGATGATTTTCTCTCCGATCTATCGATCCTAACTGCAGAACGCATTCCGCTAAACTGTGTGTTGGATCAAAGGCTTTCACCTCCACAGCCAGAAGTCGAGAACAAACTCGAATTCATCCTCAAGGCGGTAGTCTCATGTCTAGATAAAAATCCAAAATCTAGGCCAACCATGCACGTTGTTTCTCAGCTGTTGTTCGACCGAATCTAGTCCAATCCAGGATTTTGTTCATCTTCATCCTAGTGGCCACCTTAGATATATGTTTGCTATTGCTCTAATGCTGTTACTTTAGTTTTTGTGTGGTTATCATAGTTGAAATGGATATCTTGACAATGAACGTTCAAATATTCTTGTGGATATCTTGTTCGAACCCAGGATCCTTAAATATAGTAATTTTCCTTTTAATAATTGAGATCACTTTATTTTTGTTTTACTAGTTGTAATTAAATAGTGTGAAATGTGTAACTTTTTATTTAAAAATTAAGTCATCAACAAAAAGCAAACTCATGATGATACCATAACACGGAAAAATTATTAGATGGATCCGGTTTATTATGTCATCTATGATTTCAACTAATAATATTTTTCTATTTCATTTTTTTCCAAGATGAATTTTCATCACTTTCCTACTTGTAAATAAGGAGTAGTCAGATATTTGAAAGTTATTTTAAAATTAATAAATGTAATTTATTGAGACTATAGATGACTGATGAGTCGGATGAATGAAATAATTTATTCGTAGCATGACCTTTCGCTATTTACTAAAAAAATATTAGCGAACAACACATGAAATGCTATTCCCTTTAGGCTTTATTCAAAGGTAACGATCAAACCAGAGCTATCCACTTAAAGAATGAATGATAAATGAAACAAATACCCGGTATGAGTATTAAAATTAGTGTGAAGTATACAAATAGTCTCTCAATTATAAACACTACTTTATTGAGTTCTTCGACTATTAAAAGTTATAAAATGATCACTGATTATAAGATGTTACTTTTTTAATCTCCAACTATTAAAAGTTATAAAATGATCACCCAACTATTTATATGTTCCAAACTAATTCTTTTCCGTTAAAAAATTGATAGCAGTTTGAGCTGGACGTTAACCTATTGATTAGGATATGATAAAGTCTGATCATAAGATCTCAAATGACTATCATATC